GAGAACATTATGAATAAAATAGGCAGCACTCGATAAATAGCAACATATCCCACTATTTAAATAATAATAAATAATAATAATAATATAATAATAATAATAATAAGAAGAAGAAAGAAGAAGAAGAAGAAGAAGAAGAAGGAAGAAGAAGGAAGGAAGGAAAGAAGGAAGAGGAGGAAGAAGAAGAAGAAGAAGAAGAAAGAGGAGGAGGAGGAGGAGGAGAGGGAATGAGGAGGAGGAGGAGGAAGGAGAAGGATAAGAAGAAGAAGAAGAAAGAAGAAGAAGAAGAAGACGAAGCGGGGAAGGAGAGGCAGGAGGAGGAGGAGAAGAAAGGAGGAGAAGGAGAGAAGGAGGAGAAGGAGGAGGAGGAGGAGGTAGACGGAGGGGAGGAGAGGAGAAGGAGGAGAAGGAGAGAAGGAAGGAGAAGGAGGAGAAGGAGGAGAAGAGGAGAAGAGGAAGAAGGAGGAGAAGAGAGAAGGAGGAGGAGGAAGAGAGAGGAAAAGGAGGGAGAAGATAGGAGAAGGAGGAGAGAGAGGGAGGAGAAGGAGTAGAAGACGAATCCACAATTTCACCCGCGCCCAACCCCCTGTGCTAAGATTAAGAATGGAATCAGCGTTAAATAAACCCCCCTCCCTAATAGAAATAACGTGCCCTCCTCCATTATTCAGGACTGAACCCGCGGTGGTATGGCACGAATTGCGTGACCCCATGATGGCCGATTTGCGAAGCAAACCAATTGATGCTATAAATGGCACAGACTTTCTGTATTTTAAGTGTTTATTTTCTTTGGTTTTCCTGCCAGCTATTTCGGACTTGCCACGAAACTTTGCGTTTCCTGAAAAGAAATATAGAGAACGGAAATAATTTAAGAATATTAAAGAACCGTTCGTCCTAAATGTTTTGGCAATTTCTCTTTGAAAAATATGGACTCTTTTTTGAAGAATAAGGCGTTTAAGTTTTACTGAAATTCGAAATTTGTAGCCTCTTTTCACAGAAAATTTCTGAGTCTATCCGAAAAACTTTTGAAACCCTTAATTCTTTCTTCACACAAATACTGAATAGTAGTTAACAAATTGCATCGAAATTGCATATGAGTCGGAAGTGAGAGAATATTTCAAAAAATGACATTTGTGTATTTACAAACATAACTCTCCAATGAATTTTATTCTTATGTCATTATTAGCACTATCAGGATTCGAAAATGTTGAAGAAAAAGTTCTGATCCGTTTTTGAGAAATATGGTTCGCCGTTAAAGCGTTTCTTGAAAACTATCGAAATTTTGATGGCTACGTTTTCACCGAATACTTATTATTATATGATTTCAGAAATTTTTTGGATGACATGTTAATATCACATGTAACTCGTTAAATATAATATAAGAGACAAATCGGCTAGTTAATGACGTAGAGAGACATATGTGAAATAAAATCACAATTTTTTGTAATTTTGTTGAATAATAATAGACCAATGAATGGAGTTTCTTTATGTTATCAATTCTAGAGCCATGTCGTACGAGAACATACATAAAAAAAAATAGAAAAATAAAAGACAGAAACTAACTTGTAATATGTTTAGGCGATAGTGGTTTCACAGACGTGACCTATCAAAGAAACGTAAAAAAACAAACCCTTTTTGGTATCTAACGAGTCTTCAAAATTGTTATTTGTTGTGTTGTAAATTTTCAAGAAATGCATTTTCCCGACGATTACATAATCTTTCTCTATACTCATATATTACTCCGTTGGTCGAGTAAAGTATAAAAAATATAAATTAATATATGATAATAAGAATACGAATAATGATATACTTATAACAATAATAATAATAATAATAATAATAATAATAATAATAATAATAATAATAATAATAATAATCGGGAATACTTTTCTAGGATAATTATTGAAACGCTACACGTATAAAAACTTCGGTTTCAACACACAGGTGGTATTGAATGCTTCTTGTCGATGTCTTTTTGGATGTTTTGTTGAACCTTTTAGAGAAATAACTACATTTGGCATATATAGTTATTTTCTTTTCGGCCTTTTTAGTTTTAATTGAGATGTGTGATTTTGCAAATAAAAATTTATTCTGATGGGTTTTGGGAATTCATGAAAATTAGTCAATTTGTGTACCGATTAATTTAAATATATTTTGAAGCCATCTCCCTCCTCTCCCATAACGATTTTAGTCCATTGTTACTTTCTCGCTACTGCTTACGCAGTGTAGAAAAAGTTATGTAATGCTGGGAAAAGGGCGAATTTGCGGCAGAAAAGCTCTGATAGTCGGGTCCTAGTAACGAATAAGTCGATAAATCCAGTTGCAAAATATACGAACGCATATGTGACGGCACGTCGTAAGAGATCTAATCGTGCGACAGAAAACGGCGAATTGTCAGTAGAATAATCGTATTGCCGGGCCCGGTAACGAAAAAGAGGATAAATTCAGTTGCTAAATGCAGAAGAAAAAAATCTGACACGTAACTCGAATCCATGTTTTATGGATCCTTGATTACCAAATATCGTTTGACGACAAAATGCCTGTCCGTCCGTGTTCAATGCTAACGCCTGAACCAGGGGTGTACAACTTGCAAGGCCTCAAGGGTCACAACTAACACCTTTAAAATGGTTTCGTGCGATCCACATCTAACTGTCTCCGTAGTATGTCCGGCTGCTCTGAAACGGACGGGGGGGGGGGAGTGAAATTATGCGTAGTATCAGGCCGTACCATGGACAACGCAACGCAACTCATTGGGATGGTTTAGAATTTCATACAAAAACAATTCGAAACTTCTGAAATTGTACTATTTAATTTTTTTACAAAGAACTTCTATGTTATCAGCATAACTGTTCTTGGATTTCCAATGGAGGAGGGCTTATCGTGTACGTATAAAAGAAATAGGATAAGACCCATGATCGAACCCTGCGGGATTCTATGCTCAATTGGCAAAGAATTGGAAAGATGGGCAAATAATGTTCTTTCATGCCAGTCCCGTCTCTCTCGCCTTTCGTGTCACTCCTTCCCGATCGACGTTTCAGGTTCGAGTATATCCAATCTAGGACAATACCACGAATTCCACATGAAGGTCATTTTGGTAGCAAAATGTTATGGTCAATGATGTCAAATGTTTTTTAGAGGTATAAAACTATTCCAATAGGTGCTTCATGTTGATTGATGAAGCAAAAGCTTCAAGAAAAAAAATGGCGGTGTCTGGCTTAGCGTGTGTATGAATTGAAAGGGAACTGTGTAATGAGATGGAACTATACCCTACAAGGAACCCTCAACTCAGTAGGGTATTTTGGATGAGAAATGGCCGCGGAATCCTTCGTACATTAGGGTCCATCCATAAATTATGTGGTGTCTTTGATGGGAGAGGGGGTCAAAGGGGGTCTCACCTAATATACGAGGGGAGCGAGGGGTCTCGGCAAATATCACTTTTTTTTCGCTAAAAACAGTGCTAAATTGCAGGAAATCTGAGACAAGTTAAGTAAAACAAGTTTCTATACTATTAAGCTATGGCTACTTTCTTCACTTTTGGAATATGGCTAAATGTTTCCCAATAATTTATATCGCGGTTATGTGATTACTACAATAAGTAGTATAGTACAGAGAAAAATAATCTAACAAAACTTACCAAACTTTTTATCATAAATGCGATAAATCTCATTACCTATATTTTTACAGAGTTTTTAAAGAAAAAATACCGTTAATAAATTATAGCACTATTTTTAGAAGTGCAATAATATTCATTGTAATTCAGTTACTCTCATTTTCTAAATACTAGACATATCTAGTCTTAATTATAACTAAGCAAATAATGTTTTTAAAATAAATCCCAATGTAATCAATCACAAATTAACGTCTTTACATTAAAAATACGCATTTTGAAAAATCTCACGTGAGATCAGAAGGGGGAGGGAGTAGAGACAAATCTCACATCTCACCAAGGGAGGAGGGTGAGTCGAAAAATCGCTAGAATTGCCTCACGTAATTTATGAATGGCGCCTAATCACATCCATAAACATAGAACAAATAACATTTATTCACTTTAAATGCACCAGCTTCTGTGAAATAGAAAGTCACATAAAGTTTACATAACAGTAACTTGAAACGTTAACCCTGAAGACTGCGCTGGTTCGGAGAGAATGTTTGCACAAAGAAGTTTTCTTGTAACAGGCATCATTACGCGCATTCAACCCTTCGACTGTTTCTCTATTACTTGCATGAACTGTTTGGGGTCAGATTTGACCCCACACGTTTTACCCAACAGTTTACAAATATTTCACGCACGGATCGTGTTTCGAATTATTAATTAAGACAATGATGCTATTTATTTGCGATATTTACTTACTAAAAAACAAAGAATAATATTATTTCCAGAAAAACATTCTAGCATATCCTCATAACTAAGACTCGGAAGTTAATCCTGCAAAAGGAGAAATGTGCATCCAAATATTCTCTAATATTTGCCAAATATGCGCCAGAACTAATGAAATATGCTCTAGCAATTAACAATTTTATGTACTCATGAATAACTATAAAACAATTTTAACAATTAATTTCGCATTTTCGTCTGCACTTAGTATTCCAGCGATTTTTTAAATAATAAAATATAATGATTTGGTCTTGTTATCTCGAAGTATCAATTCCAATGCCACATTTTTTATCAATTAATTAATTTATCTAATTATCACACCATTCATATAATAATCAGAGTTTCCGGTTAGCAGCGCCATGATATCATTTAAAGGAAGTTCAGACAAATATTGCTGCAACGGACGAATTTCCACGATTTCTCGTGAATAGGATTCGCATTCAAATTGTCATTGTGAAGTACACTTTTCGGTTTGAGGAGACAAATATGCATATTAATTAAAATTCCAAGAATACTATACCACATTAAGAACAAAAAAGCAATGAAATATGAATAATAACTTAAATCTAATGGATATATGATGCACTAACACAAAATGCACTGAATATGCTGTACAAAATCATCGAATTTCAGTTCTTCGGATTGTGTTTTGTGGACATTTGATAATTAGCGTATTAAAAAGCTCATAATTAAAAATATGATTTTTCATAAACTTCCGGACTCTCCCCCCTCTCTCTCTCTCTCTTCCTCTCTGATTTAGATTTATTTAGTCAAAAAGCAGAAAAAACTGAATGTGACGTATGGGGAGAAGATGCAAGTTTTCTTGAGTTACAGAATTGCTTCCCATCATTTTAACATTAAATAGTTAATTAGAAATATGAGTAAAGGTTAAAGGTAAATACAGAAATAAAACTGCAATTTAAAAAAACGCGAGAGTAGCTCTCTGTGATGGGAAAGATCGAGGAAAAGTTTGAATTTCCTCTCTTGAAGGGAGAAGTTCGGATCATGCTTCTTACGATCAGCCATAATATAAACAAAGAAAAGGAATATAATGAAATACACAATAACAAAACAAAGGAATATAATACGTAAAAGAAAATGATAGAATATAATAGAAAGAATATAATAAGAAAGAAGGAAAACCTACTGACGAAAACTTCTCAGAACAACGCACAACCAACCACACGGCGTGACTAAAAACAGAAGAATGAACAGTACACATCGACTCAAAGCTGCACCTCTCAGCAGGCATAGGACATACAACAGAAAATTTGAGTCCCACAATGCTCTGCGAGTAGTACCAACCTCGCATTTTCAGCAAGAAAACTCGATTAACTTAATCGAGTTCATATATTTCATGGTGAAACAGATGCACATATAAACCCAAGTATATTGCGAGTTCAACTTTAATCGTGATTACTTAAACATGATTAACTAGATACTTAAACGAGTTTGGAGAAACCGGCCCTATAACACAGTTCTATCCATGAACGTGACACAATTTCGTGTACGAACCCAGCAATTAGGTTCCTTTTTACTTTCTCGCCTTAAGAAAGAACTTCTTAAGAAGAGAAAGTTATGTAATACTGCGGGGGAAAACAGCGAATTTTAGGCAAAAAAATGTTATTGCTGGGCCGTGGTAAAGGAAAAGTAGGTAAATCCAGTCTTTAGAAATTAGAAAATAATTTAGAAAAAATCCTCTTACAAGTGGTATAGCCAGAATTCATGTTTTGTGGATCATTGATACCGAATAATCGTTGACGGCAAAACGTCTGTCCGTCAGTCAACAACGCCAGCGGCTAAATTTCTGCCGATTTTCTCCAAAATTTAGTTCCTAATCGATCTGGCTGACGCCACGACCCCTCGAATTTGAAACCAATATTTTAATTTTTGGGAGAAGGATACTGTACATGAGGCCCTTCGGACATTCTCAAAATGTTAAAAAATGGCTCAACGGTTTTATTAAACTTTCTTATGGGATAGTGTGAAGGGCGCTTAAGAGAACCCACCTACAACTACAATTATGAAGATTATGAAAATTTGAGTACTTTTCGCGTATTTTGAGAAAAATTCCGGGCGAAGAAGTACGTGCTGTTATAGCACCACTTGTTGCTTAAAAGTTTCGTGAAAAGTTAAAATTAATATTTAGTGCATTGTTTGGAGGTGGGTGAAATTTCCCTCATGTTCCCTCCCTCGTGGATCCGCGCCTGCCTCATGGAATACGCGAGACGGTCATAAATACAAAAAGAGATCATCACTCAATCCCTATAAGACCACTTCGTAGAAGATCACTTTGTCGGGATAGTCTGTTCACAGGAAAATAGATTAAAACCCAACCTATCGTTTTCCCTCCCCTACCACACCATAACTACCGCCTATACCTCAAACGGTGTCACGGCTATCCTTATCAGAAAAAATCCCACACCTTCACAAGTTCGATTGTAGTAATCTGGTCATGAGTGATTAAATCTAGAGTTGAGTAAATCTGGAACGTAGTTATTTTGTTACAGTACCCAAATAAACGGGCTACGGCCCACCCGCGATCTTTCCTTTCTCTTCCTTGTCCTATTCTCGCTCTTTATATTTACACTTACATACTCTATATCTGGTTTATTTCAACGAGCTAGAATATACTAGATAGAGTGGCTGTTCCTAGAATTTCAGTGCTCTAGGTGGTGGCTCGCCGATCTAGTGAGGGCCATATTTTTTTAAGTTAAAACATACGAGTAACCGTCCATAACCCGCGCCAAACGTAATGTTATACTGCGATTTTCGCTACTCTGCCCCTGGCAGGTATGAGCTGTTGACAGTTTCATCGAATCGGAAGCTTAAACGTCCCCATAGTGACGTCACTATTGTGACGTTGAAGCTCCCGATTAGATGAAACTGAACACCTGAGACCTGCCAGGGGCAGAGTTGCATAAATCGCAGTATAGAATACTTTGTTTCCATGAGGGCGCTGCTTTGCCTGCAAAAAACGGCTTCAATTTGCTTCAAATATAGAGGCGCTTCAGCCACTCTATGTAGTATATTCTAGCTCGTTGGTTTATTTAGAGCTTTTCCTGACATAAATCAGTTGTTACGGTGTCATCCAATTGAAAAGTTGAACGTCACTGTAGTGACGTGTAAGCTCCCGATTGGATGACACCGTAAGAGCTGATGAGCTGTCAGAGGCATCTGTAAATAAATCATAGAATACATTCCACACAAGCAGGGAGACCCGGTAGGTGCTTAGAGCTTGTCACGGCTGGAATTCTAGAATTATCCTCCAGACAGCGATTGAACTCAACCTAGCCAACGCCATCTTGAATTAATCGTTTCCCAGAGGGCGTTGATCTAGTTATTTTGCTAGTGTCGGAAATTCTGCCACCGTCGGGACAAGTATTGATTTTTAATCAGAGCCAGAAATATTTCCATCGGATTGCAAATAGTCCTTCAGTCTTGCATAACTTCAAGAGAATTAGTCACATTGTTAATGCAGATGAAGCAGTGGTTTATTACCATGAGCATTGAACAAAACCTTAAAAACTACCAGAAAAATACAAAATAAAGCACTTGTTAGCAATGACATCTATTTAAATTTAAATCATTGTAAAGGAAATGACTCATCTTTCAAGAATAATGCAATGCTGCAGACTTCAGAATCTTACACGCCGCTAGAAACAACACGCAAAAAAACAACACAAGAGCTCAAACAAATTGATGTCATTTCACGACGTGCCTGCGGCCCTGGAACTCTCGCAAACAACCACTGAAAGTCGCGCTCTCCCGTGGGTTGCGCGTCGTGAGTCGCACACAAGCCGCACGTCACTGTGAAGAGAGATGTTGCCGACCAATAACAAACGCCCACATGTGACGTCATTGCCAGGCTTACTTGGTGGGGATCTGTGTGCTCAGCGCTGTGAAATAAGGCTTCCCTTGAAAGGTATATACTCTCTGGGTGGTGGTGTGGGACATGGAGTATATAGGTCAGAGGTTGCAACTCCATCAAAACCGGGGACGAAGCTGGAGGGTGCTACGATAGGTGACGCTAGTGTTGCCGGATGAAGCTGCAGGTTAAACTCGCCAACTTTCCCACATATAAATTGGCTAATTTGTGGGAAACACGAAAAGTGTCTTCTAAATGTTCAATAATTCAAAACATATACATTTAAGAAACCTCTGAAGAAAGCGCGAACATCAACCCTATGTTTTGTGACATTATGGTCCTACTTGTGACTCGCAAACCCAAGCAGCAGCCACGCACGTTGTAAGTACCGTTGGCTGCCGTTGGCAACAGTTCGTATTTTGGTTTCTTTACCTTCTTAGGTGCTGCAATAGAGCGCGCCACTGTAATGTTTCCACCACATTACACGGGAGTTGACAGGCTCTGATGTAGGTGAAAGGTGGTGGTGTGGAACGTATCAGGAACGTATTGAACAAGGACTTGAACGGGTCTGAATGACGTCATCTGTGATGTGATCATCTGATTATTGTACTGAAAGGTTACATCCCAGCCAGGCTTTCACTAACATTTAGGTAAGAAATATTTGCCCGTTTGTATTTTAATTTCCTTAGAGCACTTGAATAGAGCTTTCGCCTCCGATTTTGGTGTCCTTACAAAGACTGGTGTAGTAGGTGCTTTGGGAAAATTTCGATTTTTAATTTTTTTTAAGGTCTGGCCACGTTTGGTAGATTCGGGTACAAATAATTTCACAGATCAGTATGATTATTGTGTGACGATAATATGACGAATGCTGCTTATAATTAGGATGCTCGAACGATCCAAATTTCATGAAAGATATTTTTAAAATGGATCAAGAGACTGTACTTTACACCATCTGTGTACTCATTTACTTAAAACACACTATAGTTTTAAAAGTTATCTGTTTTTTGGTAGTTTATTACTTAATTAAGAATTGGACAATTATGGTATCATATTGATGGTTACATACTAGTGTTCTTTTGACAGGTCACCTGAATAATGATTACCTTTCTTCTATAGAGTGATTTTTTTATAAGAGGAGGTCGCTTTGACAGCTACAGTTGACAATGAAACTTCATGTTATGTCCATGCAATCAAATCGTCAATATTTTTGTTTGGTTAGCTCATTAGTAAATGGTTTCTATCACAATCTCTTGCAATGCCATCGCTCTACATGACTTTCATTGTTTCCAGATTTTTAAGACTGGTCCCTTCTTAGAGTTACTTCTCAATACAATAATATTCGTAAATAATTTTATGAATTTGATACTTGCAATATTATGAATGATTTGAAAAGTTACTGCAGAATATTTGTGACATTTATATTCTAAGAATATTTTTTATCTTTCAGGACAGGTGTAGTTAATGAAAAAATGGATGAAAACAACAAAAGTACCACTTTTACTCACAGACAATGTAATTGCTCAGAAGGAAATGTTTTTGAAGCAACTAACATACCGTTAATAAACAACAATACCATCACCAAAGATTGTAATGTAGTGCTTCCAAGGTTGGATACAAGTGAAATTAATCTAGCTGATTTGTTAAAAATTATTTCAAAGAATTCAGCAGAACATAAAGTAATGGATCAAGATGTAAAAACATTGCCTAGTATTGCTAAAAAGGGAACGAAGGAGGAGAGGAAATGTAGAATCATTGAAAATGTTTCTAATAAACATGAAGAGGAAGTTGAGAAAGGAAGAAAAATGCATCTTGTATTAACATCAAAACATAGTTCACTATGTGAAAAATCATCACTTAAAAAGATAACTTTTAAAAAAGTTGATAAGAAAGTGAGATTCAAAATACCAATTGCAAAATACAAAATTATAAAACCAGTAAAAAAGAAAATTACCAGAAAGTTGCTAATAAAGTTAACCCGATGTGATAACATTGACCAAAAAAAATTGGGAGATGATATTGAATAAGTATGTTAATTTTGTGGTTGGTAAAATAAAGTTTAATAGGGAAAAAGGTTGTAAGTTTTGTAAGATTTTGGGTTGGAAACAAATAACAAGTGTCAAAGTATCTATTTAATTCATAAAGAGGATGTTTAAGAAAAGTGCTAATGGACTTGACAGGAAAAGGAAATAAAATTTAACAGGGAACTAAGTAACATCTAACCAGAATCCTTGTCGTTGTGCTTGAAATTTGGAGAAAGTGGTAAGTGTGGTCTTCTTTTGCTATGCATTAATAACATGTTTTAATAATTCTTCTAGAATTAATGTTTGAATTTGCATATTGGGATGAAGTGTAGTAAACGGTACAACTTACGAAAGTCTTTTTAAACCGGCACTTCACGCCGCCCTGGCGGGAACTGTGGTTTGCATTCTAGAGGATTTCTTGAGAAGTGCTTCCATATAAAAGTGAATTGGTAACTATGCGGTGGATAGACTCAAAGATGTTTATAGTGATCGCGAGGGCCGAAGGCCTTAGTCTCTCCGTGACTTGGATCCGGGCGAGCGAAGCGAGAAAAGTTGCCTTTGAAAGTAAATTGATATTACCATGCGGCGGGGGCAAAGTGTATGAAGGGCAAGACATGAAAATCGCCTTTCCGTAATCTCCGTCAGAGCGCGTAGCGTAATTTGAGAGAGGCTTCAAGACCCCCTGCGCCGCCAAAGCTGCTTTGAGAGTGTACCGTGTACCCTACTTTAACTGAATATTGTAGTGGTAGGGGGTACCAGATGACATAGTAAAGATAATTGTATGTGGTTTTCTTGTAACCTACCATTTGAAATAATTCAACAAAAAGAGATAAACGAACGTTGGAAATTCTAGGAGGGCTATGTGTTGATACTTTTTCTTGTTATGTTGAACTTTAATATAATAAATAATGCAGTATGAGTAAATGCTCTTGGTACTTCGCATGCAATTTCTTTCCTTCTGATTTGAGTGATTTGCCAATAAATCAATGGATATTATCTCTTAATATTTATATATTCATGTTTCCAGGCAATGTGACATTGCTTGTTTCTGGAATTGATTTGCAAGAAAAAGAAGAAGTAGCAGCAAGCATAACAGCATGCATGTATGTTAAAAGAAGTTTTATATTTATTATGTAATGAAATGTTACTTTGCTCAATTAATATTACTTTGGTTGAGGGTCAGGTGATGTTTCTTTACTAAATTTTCTTCATTTTGATAATATGATATTTAATTATTTAAAATTGTATAAATTGTGGCCAACTCAGGAAATTTTTCTCATTGAAATGGAATTTATGGAATAACGAGTTAAGTTTCAAATTAAATGTTTTACAAAATGAAATGTGTGTTAAGATTCAGAAACACTACAATTTGGCTCATTTTGTGCAATAATGAAAAGAAAAAAAAATTGCCACAAAATATTTTGTCTGGCAATTTCAGAGTGGTTGTTAACATTATTACACTTTTTGTATAAAGAATTAGAATGAAGCATTGCTGATACAATGGGCAAACTAAGCAAATTCTAGTTTTGAGAAAATCATGTATGAAGTTGTGGACTGATATAAATCAAGAAAAGGGGCATTTCAGTTATTCTTTCTGTAGGTATCAACATATTTGTAAGCAGTATAATGAGTGACCCTCAGATTGAGAAAATTCTTGCAACATGTAGGATGAGGAATCGTCAAATAACATAAAAAGTTTATATTTTTCAGTCCAAATCAAAATTGTTTCATTTTTCTCTCACGTTCCTAGGTATCTAACAGAACCATAAGACACTTCTCATATGGCCAGCGGAGGCTTAGTATTCCGTCAAGTTATGGTTATATTCAAAATTAGAAATATGGATGAGTTGGAAATAGTTATAAGCACAGAAGTGTTATTGCAGTTAAAATGATTAATTAGGATAAACAATCCTTTAAAATAAAAATAGACCTAATGAAACACAAAATTGTCAATTAATTATTGATATTGAATGTTTAACATAGGAATGTTTATGACTCTATAACTTCTGAATTATTGAAAATCAATAATAAGTTCAGGACTGTATTAAAACTAAAAATGTCCCTCCTATTCCATTAGATCTGTGGACTGTCATCTACTGTTCTTTGACTGAACTTCACCCACTTCATATTAGTTATAAGAGGAAAGTTACAAATTTGAGTTGCTCATGTTCTCTGGTTGTATTAAAAAAGCGTTTGAATGAACAATTGAATTGAAAGCAACTTTGAAATAAATAAATCTTCATTATCTGAGGTTTAATTTATTTAAATGAATAATAAAATTCAAAAATATAAAAGATAAAAACAGGGTTATAGTGAATGATATATTGAATTATTGAGTCTTTACTAAATTGTTCAAGAGATGTATGTATTGTTCCAGTGTGAGCTTGTGCATGCCTGCAAACTCTTTCTTTGAAAACTTGTCTCAAGAATAAAACACCTGTCTAATTTATTATTAGAAACTGGATGTGAGATACTAAAAACTTTCAAAACAGGCAGGCAAAAGTACACTAAAAATATGAAATATATTTTCTGACATAGACCAAAGATTTCATATTGATATTTCCCAAATAACTAAAGACATGAAATGGCAATATAGGCCTACCTGGAACACAAGTTGTGTTAAATATGAATATATTTTACAAACATTACATTTTTCGTAAATTACTAAAATAAATCTGTAAATAATGTTCAATTTAATTGGACCAATGTATTCAAAAACACATTTTATTGTTTTCATCTGTGATGTATGTAGAGGAACCCATTCCAAATGAAACATTATACCCCAATACTAAAATACTAATTGATATCAAATTCGTTTCTCAATATTGTTGCTCAAAAAGTTCCAAGGAACATTTTTGATAGTCTAATGAAATGTTTTCCAAGTAATAAGTGTTTTTCTCACTTAAGGTTTATTACTTTTTAAACTTCAAAAAAATATTCCAAGTTTTCTGAAAATTTGTTGCTTCAATTATATTTTCTCTTTAATTATACTCAAAATCAAAATTTATGGTAATTCAAGTGATAATTTATCTTCAATAAGTATCTCAAAATAACTGTTTCAGAAAATACTAGTTATCCTGAATTTAGTAAATCACACACATCAAATCTTTAAAAAACATACTGCAGTGAAATGCCTTGTAACAGAAACTGACTAATGTTTCAGCAGATTAGAAAGTAAATACCACAAATCAACTAAGTAGGAATTTCTCAAGACGATAGGTAGAAACAGACAAAATTATTTTTCTGTGCAGAGTGACTTTGTAATTTTAATGTTGTCTCTAAACATAAGTACAGCCATTTTTCCCAACACCGAATCACTCTTTTCTTATTCTACTCTACTTGCAAGTATAATTTTTTTTTAGAATGAAAGGTAATTGGGACACAAGTTATTATTTATATTGGGTGATGTTTGTGTAAATACCTGCAGTCTAGCTCATAAAGGAAAGGGAGCAATGCCATATTACTGTAGGAGGTGATATCTTTTAGTATATTTGGAGTAAAAGTTTATTCTATAGTGTGCCATGGAGTTTTAACAATGTGATGTATTTTATTGTAATTGCTCTCTCCACAAAGTGATATTGTTACATATTTATGTACATTGTTTTTGTATATATTTAAGTAAAGTTTTTATCTTCGTTTAAATGTGTAATTTGTTGCCTTCATGTTTTCAGTTTCAAACTTTCCCTGAAGTATTTTAATTTTCTTCTAGGATCAACAGAATAATTTGGGGCTTTGTTGGTAGAAAAATATCCTTAGATTTTCAACCGTTCATAATTGATTGTAGTGTTTGCATCAACCTATTCCAACTCTTTCAATTCTCTGTGTATGTATCTAGAAGAACAATACATCAAATATTTGGGGGTCGGAGGTATAGGACAGTATGTCACATTTACTAAATTTTACAGGAGAGGCTGTTTGAATGTGCATACCTCTAATGAAAGTGGACTTGGTTTATTTATAGCACCGTAACTCCGCTCGTTATTAGATTTGATCACATTGTAGCTATACCTCTGGATAGAGGACAAAAAGCTCATATTGTACCAATAATCTCATTTGACAAAACATGAACATGGTGTCCTTATACCTCCGACCCACAGATATCTACTTTGTAATGTTTAAACAGATTTTCAAATGAAAATTATTTTAAATTGGTGAATAAAATACAGTAGTTATATTGAGTGTTAGTAGAGTGTGCTGTGAGTGAGAGTGTGGTGGTGTGAGAGAGAGAGAGCGAGCCGAGAAAAAACACTCGGGCCGACAGCCTGCGCTCTCTCTCTCTTTTTCCTCCCCCCCCCCCGTATCTTCCCCCTCGCCTTTTGACATTCTCATTCATTTCTTTCCCCGCTTTCTTTCACGCCCTGTTCGCCTCTTTTTTTCCCTCTTAACTCGCTCTCTTTTTCCCCTTCTCGTTCTCCCAGCCCTTTCACCATCCACTCCTGTCCTGGGCCTCCCCCGCGTCTCTCGGCAACGCCCAAAAACATTCAAGCGCAGGTGAATTGGGAATTGCATTTAACTAAAGTGGCATTTAGAGGAGCAGCATAAACACCTCCATGAAAAAACTCGAAGCACAAATACTGTAACAATTAAATTTATTCATGTGTAATTCGTTTGCAAAGTAAGAAATGAGTACTCTTCGCGATTATCAAAATAAACGCACTTATGTAGCACAGTTGCTTGATTTGAATTGTGCTTTTGAAGGTTAGCCGAGTTCTTAGTAGGGCTGAAATTGTTATATTTCTATAAATAAAAAAAATGTATATTTCTATATTACGCTGTAACTACAATAATGCGATAAAATATATGCTGTTTTTACCTATTCTAGTTTCCCTCATCATTATACAATTCTTTCTCTATACTGCGTAAGCAATTATTATTTACGGGAATACTCCCATGGATGTGATAAGGTGCTCATTTTGAATAAATTGAGTAAAATTTCAACAACAAAAAATTGCTTGAGGGGGCATTACCCTCCAGCCACTGGTAAGCACACTTCTTGTGAGGTGGGTCTCTTAAGCAATTTTTGTTCATTTCCTACTAGAATGCGCTGCGAAAATCAAAACGTAAAAAAAAAAAATTAAACTTGTGCTACAAATGGCACAGACTTTTCCGTATTATTTTTCTATTTCCTTTGGTCTCTGCTAGCTCTACGGACTTACCATATATTCTTGCCAGCTGCCATTTATCACTGCCCAAAGTTCATTTTTTTATACATTTTCTTTATTTTTCGTTTTCCTAATAGTAAAACGGACTTTATATATTAAGAATATTAAGGAACAGTAAAACCTCGTCCCAAATGTCCATTTCCTTTGAGAAAATTGGAGAGTTTTTTTTTTTTTTTTTTTTTTTTCAAGAAAAAGGCTGTTAAGCGCTACTGTAAATTCGAAATTTGAAGCTCTTTTTACGAACATTTTTTTAGTTTTAGAGACGCGTCACTAGAAGTCATTTGAAGCACGTTCTCACAAATACAATAATGATTACAAATTGCTGAATATTAACGGCGTAAGAGATTTTTCAAAGACGGTACATTTGGGTAATTAAAAAAAAACTAGAAATGAACGTTACGTCATATTAAAGAGTGAAATTAACACCATCCGTTCAAATAGTTTGAAAAAGAATTGGAGCCGTTTCGAGAAAATATTGTTTGTATTTTTTTATATAGCAAATATTGGACGCAGTATTGCGCGAAAAGTACTAAAATTTTTAAAAAACTGTACATGACCTTAATAAAAGAACTCATTGTGGACAACAAATTTCATTTGGAGGAAAAAATCTCTATCTACAATTTTGTAGTTGTAGGAAGACACCGAAAAAATTCATACTTTTTCAATTTTCAAAAATTCTTAGTTAACCGTGAAAATAGGACCTGTGCCACTTTGATAAATGTATGTTACTCTATTCTTGCAAGAAATTTAAAGAAAAAATTTGAAGCCGTTTTTGAGAAACTGTTTCAAGGGCTTTATTTGAAGTACCCCCAAATTTTAAAGAATGTTTTTCAAAATCTCAAAACTTCGACTCGAGCCAGTTGGAAAGGGGTTTCTTCAATTTAGAAAAAACTTAACGCATGGTTTAGGCGCTAGTAGAGTTCACAGACGGACGCTTTGAAAGGGACCACTTTTCTGATGTCCCGGTGTGTATTTCCGTTGAAATCTCGAAATCGATGTTCCGCTGCATTACATAACTTTCCCTATACTACGTATATTACTCCGTATATACGTATACGGGAAAGTAAAAATGAATAGTTCATAGTTAAAATATGAGGTGGTATAGAAATTTAAGAAATACGGAAAATATTAATGGTATATGTTACGTTGATGTTTATATTGTACAGTAAAAACCCACATTTGCAGTGCATACAATATGTATAATTATTTATATAATAATGTGTATATATACATTATACTCATATTCTGCAAGTTTGTTGTAAGGAGTTTAACGAGTAATGAAACGTAAAGATGTTTCTTCGTCTCAATCGTAATGACTGAAAAATAGGTAACGATAATTTGTAACACTTTCTTTCAACGTAAATTGTAGTTTTCATTTAATTATCTCTGTGATTCGTTCCTTTTCTTCATTTTGTTTTTTTGCCATCTACAATCGTTGATTGTGTCATATAACCGCCCAATTTTAAACGAGGGAATTCATTCAAATATTCTTACACGCACATAACTGATTTTACTAATTATTTTTTAATAAATATATGTACCTACAATAATCGTAGGGAACATTTTTTTGGGTTTTGTGATGAACAATATATTTTTTAAGTTAGCATTTAAATCCTCAGCCCCCCCCCAAAAAAACAACTAAATTTAGGGGGGAAACGCCTAACCTGGCAACACTGGCATGGACCTGGACGAATCGCCGGGGAAGGGGAAAAGCGTTGGCGCCTCAGTATGGCGTCGGGAGACAGAGGCATCAGCCCTTGCGACACAGCCGTATCTCCAAAGCAAACCGCACGTGACGAGCGTTTCGCTCAGCAACGCCACACAAGCCCAGAGAAGCCAAGCCAAGCCCAGCCAGACCGTGTCAAGCAAAAGCAACTCAAGCAGAAGACACAATGATGAAGACACTGGCAAGGATGCCCAAATGTGCCCTGTATTCTGGATTACCCCCTAAAAATATCATTTGAGTCCCCAAGGGGCACGAAAATGGCTAAGGATGCATCGTTTTCAAACAATTCATTCAGGGTTTAATAGTTTAGGATGCATCGTTTTCAAGCGATACAAGATGGTGGCGTGTGTTGCGAATAGTATGTGAGCTTGCTTATTTCTGTAGAGCCTAAACCATAAAATTCTGAAATACTCGTCTTAAATTTATTTGATGCATCCCTACGGAGCAATTACCTATCTAACAAAAGTGCATTGATGAGATTTATACTTGGGATTTTATTTCTCGGCGCTCGAGGCCTTGACTTCATGATGGAATATCACAAGGTATTGCACATCTTTCTCAGTCGTGCTGCTAGATGTCGCGGGCGAATCGAGCAGTGCTATGCAAATGCTGTGTACCGAAATATGGAGGAAACTGCGTATGGAAATTAAGGATAGGGAAAGGGTGGTGTTAAACATGTGAGACTTCTCGCTCGGGGACGCTAGTTTCCTATATTACATATTATGTCTAATACAATCCTCCATCATTGGCGTACCTACATTTTCAAGTAGGTACTAAAAACGTTTAAACATTTTCTCTCTGGGGACCAGAGTTTTTTAAAGTCGTTATACACCATACGGTAACATACCGAACCGCATCTTTAATGTGTGCTCAATATCTGCGATTATTGTGTATCGCCATTTATGACGTCAATAATATAGTAAAACATATGTGTAACGTACTATGAAACGATGAGCAATCTGCGTACATTTCATTGAGCTCTGGGATCTTCACCCTAAAGGCCCATTCACAATGCAAACGTTAACATAAGTATAGCGCATAGACATAAACATTAACATCAGTGATAGAAACATAACAGTGAAGTATACACAATGTATAACATACACGTAAGCAAAATAAGAGTAAGTTGATTTTTAAATACAGGTGAAAACAAGCGTTTTTGAAAAGAACTGAACAGGAAATATTCGTTCCCGTGTAATAAAAACCATTTGCGAAGGCAAATTCGCAAGTTTAAGACTCAGCAATACCGCCAATAACCACAGGGTCGAATAACAGTAAATTCTCAGGCAGATACATAGGCTGTACGGATACAATGGCTACTACTATTGCTCACTAGCTCAGGTGGTAGTATTGAGAAATAAAAAAATATTCGCGTACCCGTGCATAAAATTTCGCATGTTAATCCTCACCCTTTCTCTATCCATTTCCCTATGCTTTCCATTAAGGCTAAATGTCCCGACACTAGTACAATTTGTAGCCACCACGTGGCAGCACCAAAATAAGTAATATTTACTTTACGGATGTCTGAACCAATGGTCCGATTTTCTATCTGTAAACGGCATTTGACGCCTTTACGCTACGATGACCCTTTTCCAAAAATCTAACAAAAACGCGAATTTGAAATTAGTTCTGAAACTTCCGAGAACAAATTTAAAAATTTGGCGTTATAGCGCGATGGCGACATGCTTCCTGAATCCAATGCCGTGGCAATCATGCAAATCGGACGAATAGGAGCGTCGTAAAGTGAAATTTACGAAAACACCTTGCCTCCCCCCTCCCACTTCCTCTTCTGCACCGTTGCGTCACCCACCGCCCGTTGTGGGTCCTCTGTCAGCGCGGTGGAACGACCAGGCCCGGCGGTTAAAGTTGTGCTACGGGTTCGTAGGCTTCCGTGGCCGGAGTCCATGTATTCTTGGCTATCCGGGATGAGCCGCGTCTCAGTTGATTGGACTGACGTTTCGGCCATCTCGCCAAGAGGTTGGCGTGTCTCATCTCCCTACGAACGGAAGCCTACGAGCCCATATAACGAACCTTTACGGGGAGTGTATGTTTAAATCCACCAGAATATTCAGCCAACTGAGGATTGCTTGCGCTAAGAGGCTCTGTCAACTCGCCTTCCTTTGACGTTGCCGCGACTGCAATGTCCTTCCCAAATTTCTCAATGTTTCTCATCACATCAAGACCAGAGCGGTTCAACGGATCCTCCGGCGTACCAGCGAACAGCT